AAGTAAAACAGAAAGGATTAGTCTTTGGGTGGTTAAAAGCTGGACCAGGCAACAAAAGAAGGCTGTTATCCTGTGGCCAAGGAAATTATATACCCGACTGATGATCATGGCCAAGGATCAAGGTTGACTTCTGAGTCTTTATCTTGACCTGGTATCAGGCCACTGACCGCCTTTCGCATCTGGCTAATGCAGATACTCCAAGGTTTACATTTCCTGCACAAGGAATGTCGCATCATCCACACAGACATCAAACCAGACAACATCTTGCTGTATGTTACCGAAGAAAACCTGCACAACATGGTTTCTTTTCAACACAGCCTGGGCTCAAGCCACAAGCCCAGGGCAGGAGGTACGTTTGGCCTTGGGAAACAAGTGGGAAATGGGGGAGCAATTTGTAAGAAACGCCTGCTCTTGACCTCTGTAGGGCAGGAGTGTCAAACTTGATTTCATTGAGGGCCACATCAGGGTTGTGTTTGACTTCGGTGGGGAGGGGGCATGGCCAGGTGGGCATGGCCAGCTCGATGTCATTTGTGTCTCAGGTACCTGTGGTGGCTCGGGCGCCACGCCCAGGCTCCATTTTCGCTGGCAGAGGCACCGCGGGCCAGTCCTTCGCTGTTTCCAGGACAGCCCCGCAGGCCAGATCTAAGNAAAGTTCAAGATCTTGCCCCCACGCCCACAAGTCCATCACATGATCCATCCTCCCACTGCCATTCTGGCAGTTTCCACCCATCCAGTTTCGGTCAGGTGCAGAGGTGCCAAGACAAAGGATGACCTTGGCTTTCTAGAAAGAGTTTTGTTTTGGCTACATAGCATCTTAATGCCTTACAATCCCCCCTCCCATTTTCCCACAATAGAAAAAGGCATAGTAGAATAATAGAAAGTGTGGCAGGCCAAAGATCCAAGAGAAATATGGCCTCAGGCCTGACAGAAACCTGGCTAGTTTGGGGGCCAATCGCTTCTCCGTTTAATATTTTGCAGTCTACCCGAATCGGGATGTCTGTGAACGCCCTTCGGAAGCAAAGCACAGATGAAGATGTAATTGCACTCGCCAAGTCGCTTATCAAGGCTTGGAAGAAACTCCTAGGTAAGAAATAGGCATGTTGTAGGTAAGTCAAATAATAAAAAACACGTTGCAGAATAAATCAAGATACACCTCCTTTTGGTTTTGAGCAACATCATGCTGGTGCAGAATGCGAAGGCTGGAATTGCATCCCTTTCCCTGTGCAGGTAGTCCTCAACTTAGGCAACAGTTTATTTAGTGACCGCTCAAAGTCACAGCGTCATTGATCTGGGTCACGTGATCTGCTTTTGCGACCCCTTACAAGCAGAGTCAGTGGGGAAGCCAGGTTCACTTAACAGCCATGTTACTCACTTAACAAATGCAGCGGTTCGCTTAACCACTGTGGCAAGCAAAGCCGCAAAATGGAGCAAACTCGCTTAACAAATGTTTCACCTAGCAGCATAAATGTTGCTCTCAGTTGTGGTCGTGACTCTAGGACTATCTGTAGAGGTTTTATCACACCATGGTTTCTTGTTGTTAGTTGTGAAGTTGTGTCCGATCCATTGAAAGCCCATGGACCATGTTCCTCCAGGCCTTCCTGTACTCTACCATACCCCGAAGTCCATTTAAGCCCACGCCTATTGCTTCAGTGACTCCATCCAGCCACCTTCTTCTCTGTCGTCCCCTTCTTTTTTTTGCCCTTCATCGTTCCCAGCATTAGGCTCTTCTCCAGGAAGACCTCCAAGGTCCCTTCCAACTCTGCTATTGTATTATATGGTATTGTATTGTACATTGCTGTAAACTCCCAGAATGCCCCAATCCTAACGAACCTTGATGAATTCCTAATTCTACTACTTTCTTTGTACTAAATCCATGAATACAGGTAGTTTTTGAGTTATGACCACAGTTGAGCCCAAAATTTATGTTGCTAAGTGAAACATTTGTTAAGTGAGTTTGCCCCATTTGGCCACTTTTCTTTCCACGGTTGTTAAGTGAATCATTGCATTTGTTAAGTGAACCTGGCTTCCTCATTGCCTTTGCTTGTCAGAAGGTTCACAAAAGCGGATCACATGATGACCCCGGGACACCGCAACCGTCATAAATATGAAACACTTGCCAAGCCTCTGATTTTTGATCGTGTGACCATGGGGGTGCTGCAACAGGTTGTAACTTTGAAAAATGGTCCGAAGTCACATTTTTTTCAATGCCGCTGCAACTTTGGCCAGTCACTAAATGAACAGTTGTAAGTAGAGGACTACTAATACTGAGATTCATGGCTGCTATCTTGATAATGACTTATTACCAACAATTTTACTTCCAGATTAAATTTGGAGTTCAATTTTTGTTGAACGCCGCGGGTCAAAAAAAAAACCAAACCCAATAAAAATTATGCATCTTCCAAAAGTCAAAACAATCAAACATGAACAGCTTCAGGTCCAAACAGAGGACAGGATAAATATGTAGGAACCCAGCCCTGACCCTGAATTTTCCCCAGCTAGATCTCTTTTGAGAAGTAACAACAATTTCCAGTAAAATGATGTAGCTAGAACTGGATTATTTTCCTGGCAAAAGCTGGTTTGTTGCGCGTTCTTTTAATTGCCAAAAAAATAGCATCCTCTCTCCATCGTTGTCCATGTCATGACAGATGTTCTTCTAAGCTTCCTCAGGTGTTAAACAAACCTAGAAACATGGACTATGCTGTTCATCTACTGCTTTGGGGGCCAACGGCCTCAGAAGAAGACCCTATGACCAAGGAACGAGCCGTCCTAGAACCCCACTTCGAGGCACGCGACCCATGGCTTCCTTATGGCGACTTCATTCTTTACTGCTTGTCCTTCTTCCTCCTTAACTCTGTCCAGATGCTTCCGAAGATAAGAGAGATGAGAAGAAGAAGAGTTCTCTGGCAGCCTCTTCTTCAAAAGAAACCGGGGATTCACGAGACCAAAGGTAAACCTTAGCCAGAGATAGTGGTATTGTACTGGTTGCCCACCCAAGTTTTGTTTCAAATGCTTATTTAATTCATATCCCACCTTTATTATTTGGAGAGGGAGGGAGAGAGAGCACGCTTTTATGTCTAACAGGGGAGTAGAACTCCCACTCTCCTGGTGATTGGCCCAATGTCACCCTGTAGTTTTCACATCTAAAGCGGGACTAAAACTCACAACCTCCTGGGGATTGGCCCAAAGTCACCCAACAGCTTTCCTGTCTAACATGGGACTAGAACTCCCAACCTCCTGGGGATTGGCCCAAAGTCACCCAGAAGCTTTCATTTCTAATGTAGGTCTAGAACTCCCAATCTTTTGGTGTTCAGCCCAAAGTCACCCAGCAGCTTTCATTCCTAAGGCTGAACTAGAACTTACTGCTTCCTAGTGATTGGCCCAAAGTCACTCAGCAGCTTTCATGCCTAAGGCAGGAATAGAACCAGAGGTGGGTTCCTACCAATTCGCACCTATTCGGTAGAACCGGTTCGTCAAATCTACCGAACCGGTTAGAAGAGGTTCCNACGCGGTTTTGACGGGTCACGAAGATTTATAAAGAGTTGTAAAGTTGTTGCTTTGTGAGATTAGTGCAGATTGCCAAATACAAACATGGAAACAACGAAAAACGATGGCAGAAGGCAGCCTAATACTCGCTCCACCCCTTTTGAGGTTTTTTTTAAATTTGAAATTTTATTTTTTGTTGGATGATGGCCATGTATTCATCCCAAGATATTTAAACTTAGTTAATTATGTTTGACTCACTACCTCCACTGGAAGTTGGTTTCAAGTTTCCACTACTCTTACTATGTCCTCGACTTACGACCACAATTGAGCCCAGGATTTATGTGGTTAAGTGAGAATTTGTTAAATGAGCTTTGCCCCATTTTATGACCTTTCTTGCCACAGTCGTTAAGTGAATCACTGCAGTTGATAAGTTAGTAATCTGGTTGTTAAGTGAATCTGACTTCCCCATGGGCTTTGCTGGTCTGAAAGTTGCAAAAAGGAATCACATGACCCTGGGATGCTGCAACGGTCATAAGTATGAGCCAGTTGTCAAGCATCCCAATTTTGATCACGTGACCATGGAGATGTTGCAATGGCTGTAAGTGTGAAAAAAGGTCATAAGTCACCCGGTATTTATTTATAGGGGGGAAATGTCTGGACCAAACGTAATTTCTAGTGTTGGATTTCCCCCCTTACCAGAGCGAGCCTCTTTGTGGAGAACTGTGAAGCCGTTACCATGGCGGCTCCACTGTGCTGTACAGTAGAAACCATTTTACAGCAGTACAGTAGAAGCCGTTTTAAGGCACAACAGGCTGTATCTTAACAGAACACACACCCCGAGGGGTGCTAGGGGTGTCTTACCCCAATACTATTTTTCTTCAGAGAGTAAGTCATCTGTATACTAAGCTTGCTTGAAATTGTTCGAGGCGTTCCACAGTTATGCTGGAACATTCACACATGCACACACACAGAGCCATTGAGGTAGAGATCGATAGAAAGATACTGCCATCTAGAAAAATAGCCTATGGCTTAACCTTAACTTACAGTTTGGGCAGTCTTCCCTTGGCTTGAAGAATTTAATCTTCATTGAAACTGTCAGGGTTCCAAATAGCATCCAAAATTAAATCAGAGTCCAAGGCAAAGTATTGCTCAAAGTTCCAATTTATNGATAGATAGATAGATAGATAGATAGATAGATAGATAGATAGATAGATAGATAGATAGAGCAAGCAAAAGGGTGACCGTAGGGAGATATAAGAGGTGAATGAAGAGTGATCTTCTAGGACTAAGGATTTTTTATGGACTTTATGGGCCCTTGTTGGATTTTTACAATGCAAGATGACTGTAAAAACCAACAACTGCCCACAAGCAGAGAACTCAAAAGCCAAGCAGCTAAAGGTAGAAATCTGCAACTGTAGGAAGGAAGAGAGAATGACAGATCCTGCAACCAATCAAACTTGGAGCTGCTGCTAGATCAACATGACTTGCTGGAGACCATCTGCTCTACAGAGCATAAGTCAATTCTGATTAGAAAACAGAAGTTTTTAATTGAAGCAGAGAAATACAAGGACATGTTGCATTTATGATGGGCCAGGAGTCAGAAGAGGACCATGTCATCCTTTGTTGCTCACAGGAAGTCTTCTACAAAAATACTGGGTTGGAAGGTCCTCCCCTGGATTTATCAATCCAGTGTGAGGTGCCATTGATGCTGAATTATTTACTTATATTCTTGAAATCCATAGTCTTGTTACTGAAATTATACAACATACCCACTTTTCTAACACATATTACTTGAAGGCTATGGATTACAATGTTCTAAATTTTAGTTATATCAGAACATTATCACATCTTACTGAGTGTAACTGCTGGCAATGTACTTATGTGACTCTTCTTTTAAAATGTGCAACTACTGGTTAACTGCTTGGGTTGAAAAACTGTGTGCAAAACATGTGATAAGTGAGAGGGTTATTAATCAAACTGGGGATTCAATGCATAGCCCCTTTTAGGGTATCTGATTTTTTTTCTCATTTAGCTATAATTAAATATGGGAAACCAACCCCACTGAGCGGTGCAGTGGCCTAAAGGTGCAGACTTTCACCTCACACTTAGAAGGTTGAGAGTTCAATTCTAGGTAGCGACAAATGTTTTTCGATTTGGGCACAAAGAGAAAATATCTGCTGCAAACTCTGCATAGGCATCAGGAAAGGCATCCGGACAGTAAATACTCAGCTCCCTTCAATCACCCCAATTTCACAAGGGATTACAGAGTTGTTAAAAGAGAAAAGAAATATGAAGAACCCCATAACTAACCTGAAATAATTGTGGCTTTCTTTACTTACCTCGCTTACATATCCTGAAGTTCTTTTTGCTGTTTCTGCATCCAGAGATCCATAAGGTATCCAACCACATCCTTTCATCCAACTGTTATAATCCGCTTTATATTCATTCTGGAAAAGACCATAATGGGAAATTCTTGCCTTCAAGTTCATGTAAGAGTTTATTTGAGCTGCACTATATGTAGATCAGGGGTGTCAAACTCCCAGCCCACAGGCCGGATACATCACGCACTGGCCACACTTACACTCAGTTTAGCAAAGGGAGGGAAGTCTCAAGACGTCACACGACACCATCATGACAACACGAGTGTGACACCCCTGATGTAGATGGAACATTCTTTTAAAAGTTTCTGTTGGAAACTATAGTTTCCAACAGAAACTATAATTCATGAATTAAATTACAGGATGATAATGTAATTGCCAAAAATAAAATGATTAAATTTTTCCAAATGGTGCAATATGCTCCATTAAATGGTAGCATTACCTAATTGAAAGCAGGACCAGCTTTGATCTATAAGGTCCATCCAGAAAAATCAGATCTGTAGACTATACTAAGACATTTTTAAAGAAACACATCCTGGGAGAAGAAAGTTTCTGTATAATCACTAGAAGCTGAACTCAGTTTGAAAGCAACACTTGGCTTTATGTAATAGTTAGGATTTCATACATGGGCAAGAATATTGTAATGTTTTTAGAAGCTCTCTGAATTCCAGATTACCCTTTACAAACAATAGAGTATTGTAAATCAGTGGTGAGATACGACCGGTATGCCCCGGTACGGGCGTACCGGTGCCTGCTGGGAGCACCAGGTACCGTTCTGGTATGGTGCTCTGGAGGCCCACCTGCCCGTCTGGTGTCCTTATCATTATTTGAGCCGATCGGGGCTTACACGCACAGAGTATACGGCACCTGCACAATGCTCTGCCGAGCAGCTGGAGCATCGCGAGCAGTAAGTATGCATGCGCGCACTGCGTGCATGCTGCGCACATTCACATGGTGGACACCGGACCCCATTGCAGCGTACTGGTTGCAAATACATATTATCTCTGTTATATAGACAAGCTACAAAACATTTTATGGTTTTGACTAAGTGATTCAAACTGAATAATCAAGTCAATTTGATTTGGACATTTCACTGAACAGCATTTGAATAAAATCCTTGAATTTAGTATTTGTACTGTACAGTCCTAGATAGCAGCTACCTATTATTTTTTCAGATTACAGAATTTCTTTTCAGCCTTTAAATCTATTCTCTTTTTCACAAATGCTCACCAGTCTATATTTTAATGTTTTAAAGCATCCTTCTCTAATGGATGCTGTATGGATAATTACATATTTTCAGACAGCTGATGGCCACCTTTTGTTTTAAAGTTAAATATGCTCAATAGATGTCTGGGGCCAGAGACAGGTTGCTCCCGTTGGGCCTGGTTGGGCCAAACCAGTAGTGGCGGCAGTGGGAAGCTCCACCCACCTGTCTGGATGCTTCTGTGCATGCGTAGATGCGTGATCATGTGCGTGAGCTGTGCATGAGCACGAGTGAACCAGTAGTAAACCAGTAGCAACCCACCAGTGGTCTGGGACTTATATTTCCAACAAACCTGAAGCTCAGCAGTTAGGGAAGGCCAAAATAGGCAATCCTCAGTTGTGGGCTTTTCCTGCCCCAGTTGTCAAACTCTGGAAAAGGCTTATTCCAGTGCCGTAGTGGTGCAGTGGTTAGAATGCAGTACTGCAGACTACTTCTGCTGACTGCTGGCTGCCTGTAACTTGGTAGTTCGAATCTCACCAGGCTCAAGGTTGACTCAGCCTTCCATCCTTCCAAGGTGCGTAAAATGAGACCCAGATTGTTGGGGGGAATATGCTGACTCTGTAAACCGCTTAAAGAGAGCTGTAAAGCACTGTGAAGCAATATATAAGTAAGTGCTATTGCTAGTGCTATGGAAATGCACTGCCAACTCTCTTTTCTGTATGAAGCATTCCACAGTTCAACAATGCTAGGTTTGAAGAAACATTACTACTTACGTCACTTAGTATACTATTAGCCTTCCTGGCCAGCTCCAAATTAATACTCTCAGGAGGATAGGAGTAATTATGGATGCGATGCCTGTAGTCTGTATCACTGATGATTGCCTGGGCTTTCTTTGCTTGTATAACGGGAATCATATCCAGTGGTGCTGTGTATTTGGTCTTTGATGCTTCATAACCTTTTTTATAGAGCAGCTATGATACAATTAATACAAGGCATTAACCATTTGAAGTTGGGGAAAAAGAAGCCCAGTTCTTTGTAAAATGAGGGTGATATTCCCTCTACAATATCCAGTGGGTATTTAGCATACACAGCTTATTTAAAGAATCATTATTCTGCAACATGAGAAGGTCTTCCAAAAAGACTACAGCCATATGCAAGAAATAGACTAGGTTGGGATTATGCTGATTGTCAAATAAGTCTATGTCAATAGGTATATGCACTTCTAAATATATGCCCGACTTATGCTAAAAAAATTGGTGCATCTACTGATAACCTAATATTCACTTACTTTTTGCACTTCATAAGCATTCAGGATAATAGCCCAAGTATTATTTTTATTAACATTTGCATTTCTTCACCATTTTGTTAAGCAATTATGAGAACCTACTTTCCTCAAAGGGTGCATTATTATCTTCCATCAGAGGATTAACACTCTGGACTTGCTCATTATGTTTTCAAAATTAGAGATCAGTGGTTCTTTATTTAGAATTCACTGAATGTAAACTTCACCTAAAGGGACACTCTAAAGAAATATATTCTGAAAATGGTTTTATATCTTGATAAATCAACATTTTTCAGAAAATTCAGCATATCATCAACAAACCACATATTATTTGGTTTATCTGTACTTACATCACTCTGTTGCTTGGCCACCTTTTGGCAATGTATCATTTTGGGATCATCTTCAATACTCAGAGCTCCGATTAACTTGCCTTTGCTCTGTTCATAACCCTTTTTGTATTCAACCTGTATGGTCACAAGACAATAATGTACTTTGGTATTCTAAAAACCTGGCTGCAAATGAAAATCAATCCAAGTTCTTCCTTATTTTCTGTGTAACACTTACATTACTTGCAATTTTTTGCTTGGCTTTTGCAGCTAGAATTGGAATGGCATCCACCTTGATGTCAAATTTATTTGCTTTTGATTGTTCCCAGTCATACTTATACCAATTCTAACCCAAGGGAGAAGAGAAAAATACATGAACAAGTCATGACATAAAATCCAAAATATATTACATATAATCCATATATTTATTTTAGGAAGTGCATAACCCTATAACTGCATAACTATTTCAATGTGCATGTTATTATGAGTAGACTAACAGAATAACAGAGTAGAATAACCTTTTTTGATCAATCTTTTGGCCCACAAGATTTCAAGCTTTTTCACGTCCACTCAGGAAATATGTAGAATTTGTATAAAGTAAGCCCCTTGTGAGATTAACTTTACTTTATATTGCAAGGGTTGTCAAAAATATGATCCAAACAATGTAAGATCTAATTTCAGGACATCAGTCAGGAATGAAGCTCTTTGTTATACTCCATGTACTCTAGAGAACCTATTTTCCAAAGCTGGAAAGCAGTGATGTCTGTAGAATAAATGGGTTTTTCTATCCATAGTAAATAATTAAACATTTATTAAATGAGGTATTTTACTTCATTGGTTTTTCAAGTGAATCTCTGTCCATGAACTCTCACATAAGAACACACACATATACACTAACGTTTGCTGTGATTTCTTGGTCTTCATAGCCTCCTAGAACCTCAACAGCCTCTTTCCCTAGCATGCTTCTTCTTGCCAGCACCTATAGACTCTCCTAAATATCTATTTTGATAGTTTTCTTTTCTCCTTTCTTCATTGCCATCTGTTCATTATTCTTCCTTTTCAACAGGGCTGTCAAACTCGCAGCCCATTGGCCAGACACGTCACATGCTGGCCACGCCCACACCTGGTTTAGCAGAGGGGGGAGTTGTGATACATCACATGACACTGCTGTGATGATGCAAGTTTGACACTCCTGCTCCTCAGTATCTCATTTCTTAATTCATCATTGACTTTTGGCCAAAGCTGACGCCACTCACCAAACTAACTAGAGGTGAGGACAATTGATTATAAAGAAAATCTAAGTGGTGATCTAAGTTCTCTGCCTCTAAACTAATCTCCAGGTGTTACCTGACAATCAAATATGCTCTGTTTTATGCCTTATTATCCTCACTGTCATAAATAGCTTTATGATTCTCCTCAGTAGCTTGTTTTTTTAAGCTCTGAAAGCATCATCCATAAGACTCTTACATCACTGATGTTGTAGGCATTGACTCTGGATTGGAGGAATAAGGGAGCATCTGGAGGGATAGAACACCTGTTTTTCGCAGCTTTGTGTTTGTAGTTCAACTGAAATGCAAAATGAAAATCACATAAAAAGTTATCATTTGGAGGACAGCAATTAAGCATACTAGCATAGGCTGTTAATAACTGAACAAAATAAGAGGGAAATCCAAATAATTTAAAGTAAAAAAAATTACAGTGGTACTTTGGTACTCATCTTTAATTGGTTTTGGGAGGTATGATGAGTACAAAAAATGATAAGTGCCAAACATTTTTTTCCTATATCGAATAATGTAGTGAGTCATAAGGCAGTCAACACTGTCAAGTTCTAGCTTGTGCATTGAGTACAAAACAAATGATGAGTACAGGGACAAAATTTTCATGTCAAAATGCATTGAGTATCAAATTTGATGAGTTTCAAAGCAGTTGAGCACCAAGGTACCACTGTACTTTAATAACCATAACAATAGAAAGGCATGGTATAAATAGAATTAAATATGTTTACACTGCCCAGTTAATTCAGAAAAGACTGCATCTATGTCAGTCAACATAAAGATATGGCTGGACTTTTGTTTTCATGAACACAACAATAACAGATCCCCATCTGCTTTCATAACATACATCTTTTGAAAATTAAAAATAGGAAGCATTACCACAAAGCAATGTCAAAAATAGATCTCCTGTGTTAAAGCAACATTAACAAACTATACATCCCTGCTGATTGATTACAAGCTCAGCCCTTATTTTCCCAATTATATTGCTACTTGTTTCATTGACTCTGGTATTAAATATGTACAAAAATATACAAGCTTGAAAACAAAACATTACAAAGAAGACTGAACTATTCCATTATTCTTTTTGACTACTATGGATCTGGTTGTTCCAGAGATGAGCCAAAAAAATTCCAGAAATAAATTTTCTGGAACAAGAAGTAATTTGTGATGTTCCCAACATAATCCAGCCTTACATTTCCATAAAATTTACACTGTGTTTTTGGATTACCCTCAGGATGGCTTCTGATATTCTACAAAATGCTATGTTCCCCGCATGGTATGTTTTGAAAATCATAAACCAGAAACATTTTCAACAGTCAGGTAATAAAGCTACAACTTCATGAATAGAAACCCATTACTTGAAGAGAAAGCATCTACAAAATAAGGCCAGATGGGACATTGTTAGAGTTGCTAGGTTACTTACATCACTCAGCTGCTTGGAATTAATTTGTGCTTGTACCATAACCAGCGAGTCTGTCACAGGGGTAAACTTGATCTGACCAGAATGTTTCTTGTATGCATGCTAGACAAATGGGGAAACAAAAGGTAATTGCATTTACTGTTTAGCATGTATCAAATTAACATTCTACTTTTCAGCATCTACAGAAAAAAAAAATTAAAAAAATTCCTGCATACTAACATGGTCCATTCATTCATCAACAATATATCTAAACCCACTGCTGTTTAGAAAACTTAAAGCCTTCTGATTATCAAATATATTGCTATTTTAACTAAAAGATGTGAATAGAAGCATATTGTCCCATACTTGTTACACACAGATACGGTGTTAGTCTATATTTGCACTGCTGGGGATAAAGCCTATTACTAGTAAATCTATGCAGTATATTGGAAACAAAACTTCTGTCTTCAAAAAGACTAAAGCAAGGGTGTCAAACTGGCAGCCCCTGGGCCAGATACGTCACACACAGGCCACACCCACCCCAGCTCCGCAAAGGGGAAAAATGTGATATGTCACGTGACAGCAACGTGACACGGTGAGTTTGATACCCGTGGAATAAAGCATCAACTGTTTGCAAGGCCTTACAGATGTTTCCAGTTCTGTTTCTGCAGGATCTGAGTAGCTGCCTGTGAAGGGATTGTCTGTAAAATGAAGTGGTGGTGTCATGCATATGTGTGAAAGCCACCAGGACAGTTTTTGAAGCACACGAGGGAGGCTTGAAAAAGTCAAGGCTACTTTAACATTCCCAAGAAAGTGCTTATGGAGATTCTCAATCATCCAGGTCATGGTTGTCTGAAAGATGCTTTTTCAAGAGGCAACTGGACTTTCTTGTTTTTCTTTGAAAACATTTTGCTTCTCATTCAGGAAACTTCGTCAGCTCTGACTGGATGGTGGGAAATGGAAGAATTTATACTCCATGCAGACAGCTGGTCATTTGCATTCTTTTAGAAGGTAATTGAAGCCACCTGGAGGTTTATCTGTGTCCTCAGGGTCACCTGAGTGGTGCAAATGGGTGCAGAGCCTTTTTGGAACTGTTGAAAGTTCTGTGTTGTAGACTGGAGAGAGATGATGTCATATCCTCCCCATTTGTTGAGAGACATCTGTTCAACCTTGACCTAGATCGCCTCTTTGACCCCTCTTTCAAACCAAAAATGTGTCCAAAATGTGGTCTTTGCTGTCTTCAAATGAGTGGCCTTTGTCTTTTAAATGCAGGTGGACTGCTGAATCTAGTCCTGATGGGTTTGTTCTCCTATGTTGTACCATGCATTTCAGAAGTGGTTGTTTTGTCTTTGAAGAAAGTCCAGTTGCCTCTTGAAAAAGCACCTTTGGGACTCCCAAGACTCCCAAGAAAGATGCTTTATTTCATTATAATGGCATAGGCTTTCACAGCCAATATCTCTCAGACAATGTTGAGCTTCAGAGTTTAGTAACCATGCCTAGAAAGCATCCCTTTGTGAAATATCCCCTTCAAACACTTGGCACTGCTTTAACGAAGAACATTCAATAACATAAGATATGTTCATACACGTATGTATCAGCTTTCATGGCAATATTTGTTGTATTTGTTTCCTGTTGCAAACAACAGAGGCTCTTGTAGCTTACATTCATAAAACACAGATATAAAACATCTGCAATGGGTAACAAAAATTTAAATATAAAACAGAAATACAAATAAATGCCAGAATAGTAAATAACCACTAATAAAAACTAAGATAAAATACAACCACCAGATGGGGGAAAGTAGCCAAGGTGACAGACAGGCAGCAATGACCATAAAGAGTTCCTCCAAAAGTAAACCCTTTTTTTTAACCTTGTATTTTTAACCCATGACTTACTTTTACAAATTCACATGTATTGGAGAGGCTACCAACCTGTTCTAGCTCCATTGTAACAATACTACAAGCCAAGATTTTTAAAAATGGGAAAAAGGAGAAAGAGATGTTCACTCTGCAGCACAGAGCTCATCCAAGCCATTGGATGATTACACTGCAGTCTCCTCCAAGAAGTAATTCAACTTCAGTCTCCTTACCACCAGATGTCACATGTATCCTATATGTATATCTGAATAGCCACTTTTCAGCGCAGTCATAGAGGAAGAGTAACAAAGCTGGAGAAGCAAGTGCAATGCAAGACCTACTACAAACTCCAATATTGGTCTGCCAAAACATAAAAAAATTAAAATGCCCAGGTGATGCTACAAAGGCATCTCTTACCAGGCTTCACACCGATCTCTTCAGGAGGAAGTATTTGAACCAATGAACACTACAAGGAAAATACTTTGTTGTGCAGTTCTGTGGTTCCTTAAATTGTAATTTGGCATCATATGTGACTTACCCATTCCAATTTAACCTTATACGAAAACATTGTGGCTCTTTCAGCATTATGTCTGGGTTGTTTAAGAAAAATAGTGAATTCCATTCTAATGCCACGAAAACTGGCATGAGGATGGATGTATGCAGAGAGCAGGAATGTGGAACAAGAGCCCTCATCTGCATAATCAGCCATGAGTCAAGACCAATCCAAGGAAACATACATTAGCACTGTAATATTAAAGTTTACCTTTTTTTAAAAAAAAACACTTCAGGAGGTTTTTTTTTAAAGACTCTGGACTATTGCAAATACAATTATAAAATCTCACACTAACAATGACTTATATCTTTGCACAATTGAGATTCTTTTCTTTTTCAGATCTGAAACACATAAAAAAATATGACCTCATGAAAACAATTACTTACATCTTTGCATATGTCCAGCTTCTTCATGGCTTCATATTCTTGAGTTATGGTTTGAGGGAAATAGCATTTATCCTTTTCGTCTTCATAGTCTGCCCTATAGTTTTTCTAGAGAAACCACCAGAAAACATCATAAACACCATGAACTGAACAAAAAAAAAGGGTGGGGGGAATAGAGGAAAATAGGTACAATTCATACTCACGTCGNCGGGAATAGGGCGGCATACAAGTCAAATAAAACCTAAACCTATGCCTTTTCATTTGGCATTTATATCCACTAGACATGCAGGTGATGTAGCGTGGAGGGACTTTTTCTTAGACAGAACTTGAACTAGTGTCAAGTCCTAAAAGTGAATTACGGTGGTGGAATTTCCCTTTGCCTCCAAGTAAACCACTCTTTATGATGGGCATACTCACATCACTGGCAGCCTTTCCGGCACTTTTAGCTGCTCTAATGGAAATGGCATCGCTCCTCAGGTCATAGCCCCTCGATTTCAGGTCTTCCAACCCCAGTTTGTAGTAAGTCTGAAAGAGAATGAGTTTATTGAGTCATTGATGTCCACCAACCACATGTGCAGTTAAAGTTCCATTTAAAAAGTTGTCCAAAGCAAACTTACATCACTGATATTGTAGGCGTTAACCTTTGCCTGGATAAATTGAGGTGCATCTGCCGGGAGATTATAATTGTGAATTGCTTCTTCATTTTTGGCTTTATAAAGTACCTGAAGAGGAATCAAGTGTAAAAATCAGTGTGACATCCAAAACCAAAAATGAACATTATAAATTATTACAATTCCAAATTACAGGTTTGGTTTCAATTCAGAAGTATAGGTTATGATTGATCAAGACCCCTTTGTCTTTTAAGGGTTCTATAATCTGCAGCAAATTTATATGTCAACTCACAAAGCTTTCCTGACCCATTCCCAAGTTGCCATAGGCAGGCAAGGGGATGGGAAATCACGCCTCACAACTGCACTGAGGAATGTGAACCTCAGTGAAAACAAATCACACCCTAGCTGGCCGAAGTCAAGGCCATCTCCACGGAGACCCACAACGGCCGGAGGGAGTGACTTCCACGACCCACAAAATTGCCTCATTGGGGAATGTGACTGGTGACATACCCTGGGGGGGAGGGTCAGAGGCAAGGAGCAAACTCAGAGGTGGCTTCACTTGGTTCGTGACAACATGGCACTCCTAATAAACAACTGGATATGTCGTGAAAAATGGTTTGAGGCTCCTGGTTTTATTAGTGCATTGGTTGGAACCCTGATATTATAATGCAGTTAATCCAAATGCTAACAAACATATGGATGTTACACATACTTACATCACTCCGCTGGGCTTGATTGATTTTAGCCTGAACCACAGTAGGGTGATCTTCAATTGATGTAAATTTAATCGTGTCTGGAGGCTGACGGTATTTTTTCTGTTTATGAAAAAACAAATCAATTTCATTTACTGAATTTTTCCATTGCTTCCTTCTAATCATTATCTACCACTTCACTGAAAATTCATGTTAAAGATTTTTTTTAAAAAAAACCAAGACTTGAAAGATTTTAAAAAGTAATCAAGGCAGAAAGACTTTGATGAATCTAAAACATTAACACTTTTTCTATGCAAAACATTTATTCTACCCCAAGAATTGAGTTTTGATGCTGTAATGAATTAATTAGAAGCAAGCAAATAAATGAAGTCCTCCTAAAAGAAGTGTAGCCAATTTTTATACATACTGTGACACAATTAACCACTTTATATGCCATATTGTGCCACTTTATGGCTTAAGGGTGCTGGAGCAAAGCAGAACTAACTACAGATACTTGCATTCGTGGATCATTTAACCAACTACATGAACTTAAGACTTCAGTTTGTTTCTTTTGCTATGGAAAAGGGAGGAGAAGGAGAAAGAGAAAGCAAATTTCACACAGCAATCTAAGTTGCTTGTCTTTTTCAGAAACTCCAGTTCAGACTGCAATGAGTTTATAACAGAAATAGGACTGGTGCTCAATCCAGACTTCAAATTGTTTGGTCTTTCCCCTACTTCTTGTCTTTCCCATCTGCTTAAGGGCTCACTGGCTTGCTGAACTAGTGTCTTTCCTTTCCTTTGAAGGGCTATTTCCATTTTACTAGTCCCCTGCTTTTCCCTTGGTTTCCCAATGCCTGCTCACATAGATGCCTTCATGTTCCACTCCTCTGCCCTCCCATTATCTCCTTTAACACAGAACCCTTTCATTTCTTTTCCTTATGACACCACTGTGGCTCTGATGCCACGGTAATGAAACCAATAGCCAACAGTTGTCGTTTCATTCCCACAACTCTCTGTAAATTCACAGAAATATTTAGCTAGGAAGAAGGATAGTTCAGTTCAAAAACAAATAACAACATTCATATTTTGTAACATAAAGATTTTTTTAAAAAACCTAAAGGGAAAATAATTTTTTCAGTACCAGTGGGCTAGGAATGGGAAAGCAAGGAGATCATGCATCACCCAGCCTGGGCATAAACTCAAGGTAAACTGCTCCAAACTCAATTGCAGAAAATATGACCAGCAAGAGTGGTCAATGCCTAGAATGCACTACCTGACTCTGTTGTTACATCCTCTAACCCCCATAACTTTAACCTTAAACTGTCTATCGTGGACCTTACACCATTCCTAAGAGATTTGTAAGGGGGCGTGCATAAGCGCACCAGCGTGCCTACTGTCCCTGTCCTACTGTCCTCATTTATTTGTACCCATTTCCTGTGTTTATGTCCATGTTTATTCTTATGCCTGTTATCTCAGACATGTTTGACTAGATAGATAGATAGATAGATAGATAGATAGATAGATAGATAGATAGATAGATAGATAGATAGATAGATAGATAGATNACTAGGAATCAGGAGGATAAGCCTCAAAATACATAGAATTGCCTTTAAATATTTGGAAATTTCACAAAATAAGTCCATTATAAGATGGATCTATATGTACAAATTTACATCTAGAGAGACATGTAGACATAGAGAAAATAGATATCTTCATATAATGATTAATTGGTTATAGATACATCTGCCCAAATATACCCATTACTTCCCTGTCCTTCACTTCTCAACCCAGACTCTTTTCTAGTAATTCTTGTGATTACAGTCACTCATGTTCTAAGTTCTTTTGAAATCCTAGAATCCAACTAGCCTACTTCTACATCATTTCAGTTTCTATTGTTTCTCCTGCCAAATATGCACAACACACTCCTACTGTATATGTGTTGAGAAATTCTGCTTTTCCTCTTCCTTCTTTTGTGATCACATCATTCCCTCATTTTATTTCATCCTCTACCAATAAATTTTGGTCTTTGTGTTGTTTTAAATATAGCTAATTAGACTGGTTATTTTCAAGCTTGAGGTCCTTGTCCATGCTGACTCTGGGTTACAACAATCTATCCAATGTATTATTTGCTGTCTGCCTAATAGATATCTCACTGCAAATATTTTAGATTCATGACCTATTATCATAGTAGCAATGTATTACTGGTAGTTATTAAGTTATTGAGTCATAAGAGCAGTTGTGCATTATACTCACATCACTGATGTTATAAGCATTAACTCTGGACTGGAGAAACAAAGGAGCATCTGGAGGTATAGAACATTTGAATTTTTCAGCCTCATGCTTAGCTTTGTAATTCATCTGAAATATAGAATGAACAAAGAGTGGTATATAAATTACTAACACACACTGCTCTTCACTATGGGAAGAATTCCTTCTCCTACAGACCAACTATGGCTATGGAGTTTCTATCGATCAAATCATCAAAGTTTTGCTCCAGTGCCCAAACCAAATTCTCTCCCAGGAGGACTACCTTGTCCAAATGATGAACCTTCTAAAGGAGCAGTTAGGAGAAAATGGCAGTGCCGATGCCAGTGGTGGATTACGGCTGGTATGCTTCTGTACAGGCATACCAGTGCCTGCTGGGAGCACCAGGTACTGTTCTGGTGAGGTGCTCCAGAGGGCCCATCCACCTGCCTGCCTTCCTTACCTGTATTTGACCCAACTGGGCCATTTGCACATGCACACAGAGTGTACAGCACCTGCGCAATGCTCTGCCGAGCAGCTGGAGCATCACAGGAAGTGGGTGCGCATGCCCCATTGCAGCATACCGGTTGCGACGAGATCTGGAACCCACCACTGGCCCATGCAGTAACAATTATTCCCTTACACCAATAGCAGCAATTTCAACTCCTTTCCTGACAAATATCTTTGAAAACTAAGAAAATTTACTACTTTCCTATCTCACATAAGCCAAAGATCTGGCCTGAGACCAAATGCTTTATTAGCAACAGAATTGATATAGGATTTTTCAATAAGCCATTCTGATGGAGGGAGCTATAAAATGGTAACCCTATCCTCACCAGTGCTTATTCAGAAAAGTTCAGACAACCACAGTAATGTTGTGGTGTGCCTGAGAGTTAAGTTTGAAGATCTGGTCAAGTGAATAACAGACATTTGTATAATTAATCTGATCCAGAGAATGGTTGACTTGGCAATGAGAGGAATGAGAGGAATTCCTCACCAAGAAGAGTGAGGAATGTGTGAGTCAATATCAAAGCACAATGGCTTCAAATGCAATTGTTGTTGGGGGCAATATGCTGACTCTGTAAACCGCTTAGAGAGGGCTGAAAGCCCTATGAAGCAGTATATAAGTCTAACTGCTATTGCTATTGCTATAATGGTCCCATTTCTGACTATTTTCTACCTCAGTAATGAGGTAAACAGGTTTAATCAATGAGGAAAGTAAATAAAGAGAGGGGGGGATGCCTCTTTAGTGTCAATTACTGGTAGCAGAAGACTTGTAGATGGACCACTAGTACAGGTCAACAAATGCACCCAGCCAACCCTGAGAACCAGGCACAGCTATGCCTTCTCCACCAAGCCAGGATGAACAGCTTCATCTTGGGGATTGCCAATTAAAGAACAACTTCCCTTCTACTTCTCTTTTCCCCACAGCTCTTCAGTCCTACAGAATATCTTAGTGGGTCAGGAGAATTAGAGGCTTTATGGTGGCTTATTCCCTGGCATCTTTCTTGCCTTCTCTTGAGGTTTTGGAAAAACTGTGGGAGAAATAACTTTGAGGCACAATAGGAAAGTTTTGATTCTTCTGTTGTCAAATGTTGAATGACCAGGGAGTCAGAGGAAATCAAAAGCAGCAGGGCAGTTTGTCCTCCCCTTTAACTTTACCTACAAATGAGATACTGCAGGCCAGCTGAACTACAAGACTCGTATTGCCTATGGTGGAAAATGCCCTTTTAAAACAGAACAAAAGTAGTGGACAATAGGCTGTTTTTCCAATGGGACAAGATTGAATTTAAATATGATCACATCCATTTCTCTGCTTCTGGAATGGTTAGGAAGGCACCTTCCTGTCACAGTAAACAGGGCATATGAAAGGGTCTTATGATTTAAACAGCTAAGGGTGCAGTTACAAACTTTTTAGAATCATCTAATTCATCATCAATGACATGGTCAGCTTCTCCAGAGCCTGAAGAGGGAAGGAGAGACAAAATAGAAGAGATGGCATAGGGTCTATATCTGCTGAAGTAGCAACCAGCAGTTTCTAGAAGTTAATATTGTGGCCTGTCAGCGGCCAGCAGAGCTGGCAGCAGATTCAGACAGTGAGGAGGTTTAGGGAGGAACATGGGCCAGTCGTGGAGTCTGGGGAAGGCTTGGACGATGGCACTGAGTCGGAGGCTCAAGGCCATCTGGTAGTTATTTGACATCAGCGATGGAGAAGAACAATGGGAGCCTGTTTCCAGTGTGTGCATGTGCAGAGTTGCCAGAAGGCAAGAACAATTAAGAAAACTGGGTCGATTTGGGAGTAAGGTTTGGAGATGATTGGCTCCTCCCATAAGACATAAAAGAGGAGCGAACAGGACGTAAGCTTTTGCAGGAAGCAATTAGTTTATCTAGTCAGTTCAAGCTTTGAAAAGTTCTGTTTGACTTTGTGCTAAATTTGGCCTTGTTTTGCATTTGGCAATTAGGTGTCTGGCAGTATTCCCAGGGAGATAAGGTGGGTGTTTATCAACATTTCCCTGAAAGTCTGTGGCAACTCAAGCAGACATCTGTCGGAACCTTCACTGACTGTTTGTGAAGCCTTGCGGACTGTGAATGGCCATAATTTACAGCTGTATAAATAAAAGAGGGTTTTGAGGACTAAGATTGTGATCTATGCTCTCTCAGGAAGCCTAGGTCAGAACAGTTAAAAACGATCCGTTTGTAAACCTTTTTACACTATTCTGAGCCCCAAACAAACACCTGTTAACTGAGAAGGGCGAAAGGAAAAAAAATGGCCATGTTTAAAATTCCAAAGCATAACCCTATGTAAAGGCATTAACCGTTTGGAACTGAGAAGAGCAATGTCTGCCTACCAGGGCTTAATTCTTCTCTGCAACAGAGAACCTAATCTATCTGATTCATGTCTGACAATCTTTTGCTAAATAAGCACATACATGAATAAAAGGATGAGCTTCTGGAAAACTGAGATTACTGCCATGTTCATTCCAATACATTCTAAGCAACTGCTTCCATTTGTTTTAAAAAGCGTTGCCACAAAATTCTCATTTTCCAAATAGAGAGTCATGTTATTGCAATGTAAAAAATCTGCAAGTCCAACTCAACATTAGGCTGTCTATAGCGGGCAATATAAGATCATAGAAAGGCAGCTTCCATCCGCTTCCAGATTACTTACATCGCTCAGCTGCTTGCTATTAACCTGCGCTTGTAGCAAAACTGGAGAATCCGACACTGAAGTAAATTTCATCTGGTAGGGATGCTTTTTGTAGGCAGACTAGGGGGAAAAAAACAAGCAGCGATTACTTTTCAGTAAACATCCGACTTGTGTTTTCTACTTCGTGATATGTTTTACAACCTTCTGCTCTGCTACTATCATCCATGCATCCATTCAGCAAAAATATAGCTGAGGAAGGCAGCATTTACATACATTGACAGCATGGTGTTTAAATTCAGTTCTTGTACCATCAATAATACTTCAGATATTTTCACGTATTTTTTATTTCATTTATTATTTTAAGAATATCGTGACACAATACACAACTGAGATTCTTTTCTTTTTCAGTTCTGAAGCACATAAAAATATATGACCTCATTAAAACAATGACTTACATCTTTGCACATGTCCAGCTTCTTCATGGCTTCATATTCTTGAGTTATGGTTTGAGGGAAATAGCATTTATCCTTTTCGTCTTCATAGTCTGCCCTATAGTTTTTNACTGGTTCTGTGGGTTTGGCTTGGTGGGCATGCCTTGGTGGGCGTGGCAGGTGATAGATGCTGCAAAATCTCCATTCCCACCCAGCTCTGGGGCCAGCCAGAGGTGGCATTTGCCGGTTCTCCGAACTACTCAAAATTTTTGCTACTGGTTCTCCAGAACCTGTCAGAACCTGCTAGATTTCACCCCTAGTGTCAAACCTGATCACATCATGTGATGTATCACAACGTATCGTGATGTTTTTTGCCTTTGTGGAGAAGGGGTGGGCGTGGCCTGCATGTGATGCCCCCCGGTCAGCGGGCCACCAGTTGGACACCCCTGCTCTATTGGAAATTAACCATTGTTTATTCAATATGCAATAATCTACTGCATAATGCTTTAAAAAGCAGAATAGGTATGTTTCTTGGTCTACCATGAATTATTCATTTGCCCTTTTCATTGTTAAAAATGCAGCATTATGACTGGAAACATTTTACCACACACAAAGGTTCATGAAGTATGGAAACCAGAGAGGAAGTCATTCTTTAAGTTGCAGGTTAACTTACATCACTTAACTGCTTGGTATTAATCTGTGCTTGCACCAAAACAGGAGAATTCGCCACCTGAGTAAACTTTATCTGATCTGGAGGCTTCTTGTAGACAGCCTGGTTGAAATGAAAGCAATGCATAATGAATTTTCAGGCTGCAGCACTATGGTCTTCCATTTTTGTATCAACATATATCAAAGATAAACAAAAAACCCCAAAAAAGCAGCATTCAAAAGAAATAGCACAGCAGTTAATGATGCCGATTGAATAAACATCTAGTTGAGAAAATCATGATATAATATTATTGTCTGGAGTTCTCAGATGATTTTTTTTAATATCAAAGCATATAATCATTAAGAGGCCTCAGTATGTTTTGTATCTGGAATGATAGCAGATTGTAATGTATCTGTTGCATCTAGAATACATTCTCAACAAACATTGAGATTAATCAAGGGCAGAAGTAACAGTGGAAGGGAATGAGTGGTCTCTGTCTTGTGACAACTTCTGAATCATTTCACTATCCAGGCAGATAATGACTGGCAAACCAATAACTAGTCAGATATTTATAATTCTGGCATAACTAGGTGTGTTGTGTATAAAACCCCACTTCTAGATATAGTTAAGGAGTCTTATCTTTTTTGCAAGCTCAGCCATGGTTTATTTCGCAGGGTCCAATAAGCCCTCCCATGGCAAGGCTAAGGGTGTTGTGCAAATACAAATAGGCAATAAATATGACTGTATTTATTTGATTTAGCATGAGATAAATCAGAATGTATTACAAGTAGTCCTCGACTTACAACAGTTTATTTACTGATGGTTCAAAGTTACAATGGCACTGAAAACAGTGACTTAGGGCCATTTTTCATACGACCTTTGTAGCATCCCCATGATCCTGTGAACAAAATTCAAATGCTTGGGAACTTGTTCAAAGTTATGACCATTGCTTCATCCCAAGGTCATGTAATGACTTTCGCAACCTTTTGACAAGCAAAATCAACGGGGAAGCCAGATTCATTTAACAACCATGTTGCTAACTTATCAACTCCAGTGGTTCACTTAACAACCAGGGCAAGAAAGGTCATCAAATAGGACAAAACCCACTTAACAAATGTTGCACTTAACAACAGAAATTTTGAGCTCAATTGTGGTCAAGGACTACCTGTATTTCCTGAAATTCTGAAAGCTTTCAGCCTATTATAGTCATGAAAACATCAAAAGTTATCACATGCTCAATTAAGGAGATGATGCAGACGTGGGTTCCTACCGGTTCGCCCCAGTTTGGCTGAACCGGTAGTGGTATGGCAGCCTGGGTTGCTGAAACTGGCAGCGACCCAGGCCTGTCACGCCCCCAAACTGGTTCCCCAGCCTCCGTCGCCATTTTGTTTTTGAGTTCTGCGCATGCACAGAACAATTTTAATTGAACTGTACATGCGCACGCATCCAGCATGGATGCATGCAAAGCACACGCACGAGCGAACTGGCAGTGAAGCCGGCCAGAACCCACCCCTAAGATGATGGATAACTTTGACTTATTTACTATTCAGTAATGTGAACTATCCTTGATTCAGCCATACATATCATCACTTAATGTGTTTGTGAGTAAGCGAGTGCACACAGTATTAAAGCTGGTTATTCACACCACCGTGTCCAATTCTACAGACAGTGAATTGAATTGATATATTAGATTTCACTTGAGAAATTATGTATGTGACCCAAACACATGTTAACCACTAGATGTCATGAGCTGCCTATAAATTAATATGATGATGTAAGATGTTAGAAGGATACCACCTAAGGACAAACTACACATTACATGCAAATAAACTTTTTTTTTTTTTTAATTAATACAAAGCAACCTCTTCGGGCTGCAGTTTTCAGCCAAGACCAAGCAAATAGCATAGGCTACAAATAGTTCAATTCAATGAGGTTTTTTTTTTCTTATTTCACTCCTTTATTCAAAATCCCAGTTCTTCAATATTCCTGTTGGAATAATGGAACTCAGTGATGTGATCCTAATTCAACATAGACCGTGATTCTTAAATAGAAAGCAGAATAAATATTCCAATAGAAGATAGATTTTTTCCCACTTCTGTGAAATATTAAAACACATGACTCAATCCCTAGTCAGATTAAAGGGGTCCTTGGTGCTCTCTGAGCTTGCTCGTTTGCTCGTGGACTTTTCATTATCCAAACTAGGTAACATCATCAGTACTAGCACTAATGATGTTACCTAGTTTGGATAACAAAATGTCTGCGAGAAAACAAGCAAGCTCAGAGAGCACCAAGGAGCTCTGATGTCAACCCTGAGCTACAAATAGTCAGATTTTAAGTCTGTGTTCACTTATGCAGGTGCAGCGTTTGTCTATCTTCAAAATGCATTTCATAATTTAGGCATTCAGATTGCTTTAAATAAGTTTTGAAAGACATGCTTCCCCCCCCCCCACCCTACCATCTGAGGTAATAAGCCATACAAGATTTCCCAGCAGCTCTTACATCTTTGCACTTGTCCAGCTTCTTCTGGACTTCATATTCTTGAGTCAAGGTCTGGGGGAAGTAGCAGTTAGCCTTTTCCTCTTCATAGTCCGCTTTATAGTTTTTCTAGAGAAACAATAAGGGATCAGTAACCATAACAAACCACTGAAGCCAGATTAGGTGCCCAGAACTCATACTCACGTTGCTCTTCATAGCTTCAATCTTCATGCAATGCGCTTGATAGGGATCCTCAAAGGTGCCTATGTACCGACCCAAGACATTGGCTATGTAAGGCCCTTTGTATTTGACCTAAAAAAAAAAAGAATACCACCAGTTTTTTTTATAAGAAACTGCACGACTTTATCTGGAGCACATTAAAGAACTATTTCTATCACACTTACATCACTAAAGTCTTTCAGAACATTGTCGATTTTGTACTTTGGAGTCTCGCAGTAGTTAATACTTTTTGCTTTGGCTTTCTCGTATGCTTCTTTATATAATCTCTGCCAGGGGGAAAAAAAAGAATCTAAAGTATTATAGCAGTATTAACATAAGAGGAACACAGGAAAAAAATTAAATTCTTCTGCTGATTATGATGCCATCAAACCTGTGCTGCCTTCAAATGAAGCAAGTAGGTATAGAATGCAAACCTTTATTTTCAGTTATTTATCTTATCCAAGTTATGAACACTGGGAAACAAAATGATTTCTGGAGGAAGTAAGAGAACCAGCATCCTCTTTTCTACAATGGTAGACAAGATTTCTGTACAATTTCTTATTCTAATATAAGAAAAACTCTGTCTTCCATATGTCTCCTCCCTCTTATATTTTGATTTTAACTCAGAGCTGTGTTGCTTCTGAACCTGGGGATAATATTCGAATGGCATAAGCTCTGAGATTTCTTTTTTCTTGCATCGTCTAAACTTTGCTACTCTTCTTTTTAAAAATGGTCTTAAAATAATAGAATACAAAAGGAAATAAGAAATAAGATGAAACACAGGTAGTCCTCAACTTACAACAGTTCATTTAGTGATCATTTGAAGCTACAACGTCACTGAAAAAAGTGACTTGCGATCATTTTTCATATCTACAACCATATTAGCATCTCCACACAGTTATGTGGTCAAAATTAGGATGCTTGGCAACTGGTTCATAGTTATGATTGATGCAGTGCCCCGGGGTCATGCGATCACCTTTTGTGATCTTCTGACAAGCAAAGTCAATGGGGAATCCAGATTCGCTTAACAACCACATTACTAACTTAACAACTGCAGTGATTCTCTTAACAACTGCGACAAGAAAGATCATAAAACAGGGCAAAATTCACTTAACAGATGTCTCGCTTAGCAACAAAAATTTGGGGCTCAATTGTGGTAATAAAATGAGGACTAACTGTACAAGAATAATTACTAAAGATAGATTTTAAACATACCCTGTTTCCCTGAAAATAAGACCTCCCCAGATAATAAGCCCAATCAGTCTTATGAGGGCATGCGCAAAAATAAGCCCTCCCCCAAAATAAGCCCTCCCCAAAAAATTGCAATATAGCAGCAGCCATGGGGTGACCACGCTCGCCGCCTCCTGCACCTCAAAAATAATAAGACCTCCCCGAAAATAAGGCCAAGCACTTATTTCAGGGGTCAAAATAAAATAAGACCCTGTCTTATTTTCAGGGAAACATGGTAGTGAAAAAACTTTCATTTGTGTATTTGTGTCCCCAACCACCAACCAGTTTAAATACTTGAACAATATGATCGTTATTGATTTCTCTTTAAGTCCCAGAAACCAGATTCCCAATGTATAAATTTGTCTTGTATAAGGCAAATTTAGATCTTGCATTGTTAGAAGCCCAGCATTAGTCCAAATGTAGACTTCAAATTACTACCATCCCTGGACACAGGTTCCTGCTAATTAAGGAGGAAATGAATTATATTGTGTGATGCCTAAAATTTAGATAATTTTACACTAAATTCCCCAAACACCTCTTCCTAAAATTGAAGGTTTAACACCACCACCCCCAGAGCAGCCTGAGCCATGTTCATTTTATGTCATTCCCAATTCACATGTGCTGCGAAGCAAACTGTAATCCCAGAACATTCTTCACTCACTGACCTGACTCATAATATACCTGGAGAAGCAAGACACTCTGGCAGAAGGTTTACAAGAGTGGTGTCAAACTCTATTTCAATGAAGGCTGCATCATGGTTGTGTTTGACCTTGGGGGGCCAGGGTAAGCATGGCCAAGGTGCATGTGGCCAACTGAACATCACTTGTGTCAGGGGAACCTGTGGTGACCCGAGTACTCTGCCAGTGAAAATGGGCTCCCGAGGTCCATTTTCAGCTGCAATAGCCTGCTGCAACCTTCTGCCAGCAAAAAATTGAGTTTGGGAGGGCCGCATGTGGCGCTCCCAAGCTCCATTTTCGCTAACAAGGACACTGTGGGCCGGTCCTTTGCTGTTTCTAGGCCAGGCCACAGGCCAGATCTAAGCACCCCGCGGGCCATGAGTTTCACCCCACTGATTTACAAAATGGAAGCAACAAGGGAGAATGCTTTATCTGAAGTCCCCCTATGCAGCCATTGTCCAAAATTAGAAGATGCACAAAGTTGGTAGCTCTTACAACACAAATGGAATAGAGAGTGAAATCTTTTTTAATAGATATTATACTTTGGGATTCTGTGGTAAGTACTATGTGTTTGAAGTAAGCAAATTATAAGCTTATTATCCTCAAACAAGATGATGTATCTTGTCCACCAGTGACAGCAATTGAAATAATATTTAAAAAGGAACATTCTACTCAAAGGAAATTTTATCATTACACTGATCTAACCAATTTGTTGATTAAATTTTGCATTCTTATAGCAAGACAAGATGTCACACAGCAAACCTATTAGTAAAGAAGCCTAATTTTAAATAATATATAATGATGAATTGTTGAAATTTTGTTTTGTCAAGCATCCCTAGGGGGGAAAATAGCATACTTACATCATTTACTTTATTTGCAACAGCTTTTAGATGCCTGAGCATCGGATTCTCCGTTGCTGGAAGTACATTATAATCTGCTGAACCTTTGGCTTTTTCATAATCTTCCTTGTATTTTATCTAGAAAAATTAATAGGGGGGGATTAATTCATTTTCCAATTTTACAACATGCTATTTTGGTATAACTCAATGACCTTTTTATTTGGACTTTTAGCTCAAAGGCTTTTTTAAAAAACTGGAAACATTCATATACCATTCTAAAGTGAACACATTTGAGGCTCTTTAGATATGCCATCTCTTCAATTAAGAAAACAGTTTCAGCTGGAAATGCTATTTGTACTTGTATTTGCCAATTGTTCCACAATAAAAAAAACCATTGCTGATGAAATATAACTAGAATGTATTGTGCTTTCAAGGGTTAAAGGAAGTACATTTTTCGTTAGCAAAAATCCTTTTCGATTATCTCTTCTGCTAAACTAAATCTGAGAAAGATAGTAATGCATTCAAAGATGAAGTGAAGGACATTGCGTTCTGAACAGCTAGGATCCAAAACTATGTTTTAGCACAGTTATACTGTTGGGACACACACACATATGCACACGCACACACATAGATACGAGCGCACACACATACATCAACAGAAATGAGGAAGGCATTTTTCATCATTTTCCATGTGGTCTCCTTTTCCTCCCATAAAAATAGGATTGTGACTAAGGGGAAAACAGAAATCAATGAAAGTTCTCTCTTCCACCAACAAAAGTTTCCACTGGATCACCAACATAAGCAACAAAGGAATTCCGTTTTTGCAGAACTCCCTTTTTAAGCTCAAACACATTTTCTCGAACAATGCCAAGACCTAAGAGATGCATCCAAATCTTAATGGCACTCCACATTAAACTTTCCTTGACCACCAATATGAGATGAGGCCGCACAATATATATGGAATACCAGCTGTATAAATGGGCAGAATATTCCATGATCAGTAGATTCCATTAAAGTGGAAAAGAGTGGGTCAAAAAGAGCATGATGCCAGCTGTGACTATATGAACAAAGCCCCATGTCTTTTGTACATGTGTCAATGTCACAAGCATTACACAGGGGCTTTGTTCATCTGGTTGCAACAGCCATCTTCACTTCTTGACCCCTCTAGCAAACATCTGTGACACGTTTTCAATTTACACAAAAATGCCTTCATTGCAACTCAACCCATGTGACATGACCAGAAGCTTTAAACTACTCCTGTTTTGGATGGGACTTTCTTTGTATGTAAACTGAAACTATAGAAGATTCCAAGCACATGATGGGTCAAGCCATCGCCTGGTCTCCTTAATGGACTCAATTTAAACCCATAGCTAGACTTATTGCCATACCTTACTGGCATCAATTCCAGCACGCTTATTAACTGCATACTCTGGTGTTTTTGTCTGCATGAAATAGATATGGTCTTTCTTCGATTCCCAGTCTTCCTGGTATTTTCTCTACAAACAGGAAAAAGTGCAAGAATGTACAGCTCAGAATTGGAATGTTATTATAAAGGCAAGCAATCGATATAAAATAGGGGGAGGGAGAAAGGGGGCAAGCAAAACAACATAGCATTTCTTACTGGGCTCAAAATGTCAGAGCTCATTTTGGCAACTGCGACATCATAGCATGGTGTTTGGCTCCATTTGCCCTTCTTATTTTTATAGTCTTCATGATACTTGTGCTACAACAACAAAAAAAGAGATAAATATTGGGCTGTAGATAAACTACTTTAGAAAAAGGAAATATATTCTTAAAATAGGTTTCCTTTGCAGCTAAAGGTGAACAAGTTTTTAGACTCTTCTGTCTTAGGGATGTTTGAATAAAACGTAATTGTTCTATAGCTTTCCAAAACTTTTGCAGAAGAATGGAATCAGAGGTGGAATTCAGCAGCTTCTGACCAGTTCTGGAGAAGTAGTTCAGAGAACCGGTAAATACCACCTCTGATTGGCCCCGCCACCACCTATTCTCTGCCTCCCAAGTCCCAGCTGATCAGGAGGGAATGGGGATTTTACAGTATCCTTCCCCTGTCATGCCCACCAAGCCACACCCACCAAACCACACCCACCAAGCCATGCCCACAGAACCAGTAGTAAACATTTTTGAATCCCAACACAGAATGGAATAGAATAGAATAGAGCGGAGCGGAGCGGAGCGGAGCGGANTTGCTTTTGTTTGATCCCAGTCATACTTATAACAATTCTAGCCAAGAGAGAAGAAAATAAACTAGGAATCAGGAGGATAAGCCTCAAAATACATACAGTAGAAGATGCTTTTATCTATAACCATACCTTAGTTTGGTTGAGAAAATGAAAATATTCTTCAAGTTAAGAACAATAAGTTCTAGCCAACTGAAATATAAATTCTAACATTTCTATGTGCTATCATGAAATGCTATTAAAAATATAATCACTTTTTTAAAAAATCGGAACTTGTAAAAAAGTCTCATGAGATGAATAGTACACGATATGCAAATACATGATGTAACCAATCCATTCTCTGCAGTACTCGAACATCAAGGCAGAGTGCATTCATCTAATCAAGTTCTTTATCAGCACCTGATCCTTGCCTCAAAACCAAGCTGTGATTTATCACATAATTGGAGGTATATCTATTCAACCACACACTCTTCCATAATATTCCCAACAACTGGTTTTTAGATCTACTTTTCCAGTCTGCAGAATTTGATTAGATTCTTTCCTTATCATTCCTGCTACCTTTTTCCTTTCTCCTGACTCATATAGTCTTTCCTAAATATTGGTTGAGAAGTTTTCTTTTCTTTTTTATCTTTCTTCTTATGTCATAATTCTGACATGCTTCATTCTTCTTCCCCAACAACCAATATGCTCTGGACTCCTTTCTCTTTGGTTCTAAAATTAAGTTAGTTCTCTTTTCCAGTTTAATGTCCTTGCTCATACCGACTATGGATTATGAAAGATGCCCAGGGTCTTCGGAAGGCATTCATCTAGTCTTACACATTGCCCTATTATCCTAGTAGCAATAGTAACAGTTCACATAATTGAGTCAAAACTTAAATTATATATTATATAACTCTAACTGCAAAACAACCATACAGAAGTCTTATACTTACATCACTGATGTTATAAGCATTGACTCTGGACTGGAGGAAAAACGGAGCATCCGGAGGTATGGTACATCTGGCTTTTTCAGCCTCATGTTTGGCTTTGTAGTTCATCTGAAATGCAGAATGAGTTAATGAGGATTTAAAAAGCAACTGTGGGGACATATTAAAATGTCACGCACAGAGTTTTTTTTATTAGGAATAATGTCTGCGAAATACAAAAAAGAAATCCAGTATTTAATACTATATATAATTACGGAGGCAAGGATTGCCTTTGCCCAGAAATGGAAAAACAAATTAACTCCATGAAAGATGAAATAATAAGAAAGGTTATGGATTGTGCTGAAATGGACAAACTAACTAAAGAAATCCAGGGAAAAGAAGAATCAGAATTCTACCAGATACGGGATAAATGGTATTGGTGGATGGAGGAAAGAAACAAGAATCAATGAAGGAATACCACAAAACTCAAAAATAATAATTATGAGTAAAATAAGGGGGTTAAGAATGGTGAAATCCAAATGAAATATAATAGAAGGAGAAATAATATAGGGTGAGCGGTATCGATTGATAATTGTTCTTAGAAAGAACAGGAAGCTCCTGTTCGTATTGTATTGTGTAAATGTGGTCTATTTCTAGGTTTTGTGTGTGTATGTACTTTCATGTTTTTAAATAAAATAAAAAATAAAAAAAATAGAAAATGTCACGCAAACACAGTGTTCAGAAGACAGGTAGATAATTTCTCAACAATGTGCGACATATGTATCTAGGGCAGTGGCATACCTCTGTTAGTATCTGCACAGCAGAGGAGAAGAGATTCTTAGCACCATCAGGTTAAGAATGTCTTTGGCTTTCAGTGGGCCAACAATCAAAAATGATCACTGTCATTTTGTAAACACTGAATCTAGTTCAGTATCAACTGACAGTTCGAGAGGAGATTCTTGGCACCATCAGGTTAAGAATGTCTTTGGCTTTCAGTGGGCCAACAATCAAAAATGATCACTGTCATTTTGTAAACACTGAATCTAGTTCAGTATCAACTGACAGTTCCTGACAATTCTTTCCAATCACTTAACATTATTGCAATGTTAAGGACTTGCAAGTCCCAAATAATCATGAACTCTTTCTCAGACAACTTAGCAGAAAATATAAGACCATGCAAAGCCTTACGTCACTCAGCTGCTTGGTATTAATCTGTGCTTGTAGCAAAACTGGAGAATCCGACACTGAAGTAAATTTGATCTGGTCGGCATGCTTTTTGTAGGCAGACTAGGGAGAAAGTTTTTAAAAATCAGTGGCAAATTAATTTTTGGTAGACATCAGGTTTATGATTTTGTAATTCATGATACATTTTATGAAGATTGATTGTGTTACCATCATCCCTGCAGCCATTCAGGAAAAGTACAGCAACTTTTAAATTTGCTGTATGAATTCAATTCTTGTGCCACTGGCAACACTTCAGATATTTTTGGATCATGTAATATCTTTTATTTGATTTATTGTTTTAAGAATTTCATGAAATAATATACCACTGAGACTCTTTTATTTTTCACTAGAACAATGACTTACATCTTTGCATATGTCCAGCTTCTTCATGGTTTCATATTCTTGAGTTATGGTTTGAGGGAAATAGCATTTATCCTTTTCGTCTTCATAGTCTGCCCTATAGTTTTTCTAGAGAAACCACCAGAAAACATCATAAACACCATGAACTGAAGAAAAAAAAGGGGGGAAATAGAGGAAAATAGGTACAATTCATACTCACGTCGCTCTTCATAGCTTCCATCTTCATGCAATGTGCTTGATAGGGGTCCTCAAAAGTGCCTATATACCGGCCCAAGACATTGGTTATGTAAGGCTCCTTGTATCTCACCTGTGGAGAAACACAATCACATGTTGCAGCAAAGCAAGCAAGACTATCGTCTGGAGCAGAAACAAAGGAGAAATGTCCACCACACTTACCCCACTGAAGTTCTTAAGAACGTTGTCCACTTGATACTGTGGAGTCTCACAATAGTTAATGCTTACTCCTTTTGCTTTTTCATAAGGTTCCCTATATAATCTCTGCAAGAGTGAAAAAGGAGAAGTAATCATGGAACAGGGATTTAGAAAATATTTCTTATATGCATGATGTTGTCTCCCATTTAGAAAATTTTGCTATTGAAATGCTGGTTATCTTGAGAAATAATAACAAAAATTTATGGGAAATAAATAGCGCAACCAATATATGAAAAAATAGTTAATGGGCCAATACGAAGAAGAGGGCCAAGGAACTTGTACCGTAGTTAGTTGGATTTAAAGGGTGAAAAGTTTAAGGAACAAAAAACCATTGTTCAATATGTATACCATACAGCCAATATACTGGTATTCATTTGAAATTAAATATAGAGCCAAGATTATAATATTTCTTTTTTAAAAATGCTTAGGACTTGTTATTCCACACTCAGTCTCCTTGCTTGTAAGCTCCTGGGATCCAAGGAAAATGTTGCATGCCTCCCACTCTTCCTATTTTCACAATACTGTACATTGGGTTTACTTACATCACTTTGTAGCTTGCCTACTTTCAGTGAGTGCCGGATCTTAGGATCATCTTCAACACTCAAAGCTCCAATAAGCTTTCCTTTGCTCTTTTCGTAGCCCTTCTTGTACTCAACCTAATTGGGAAAAGAGAATGACATAGTTTCATATGCTATAAATTTGTATAAAAATGGAGAGCCACGAACTGCCTTTTTTTAATTTCTGTGTAACACTTACATCACTTGCAATTTTTTGTTTCGCTTTGGCAGCCAGAATCGGGATTGAGTCCAATTTGATATCAAACTTCTTTGCTTTGGATTGATCCCAGTCATACTTATACCAATTCTAGCCAAATGAGAATGATAAGAAAACATAAGGAAAGTATAACATAAAGAATCAATGCTGCCATTTACTGTAGAAAATATATAAAATCACAACAATGTGGTGTATTTAAATAATGCATTGAAATCTGTGCATGCTTTGAAAACCTGGTTTGTAACAGGTTTCAAAGAAATACTAGGTTCATCTATGTGTTGATTTTATAAAATGACTAGATCCCTCTTAGTTTTATAAGATCATATATTAATTCAGTGATAGTTGTATCCAAAATTTGATTCCACTAACAGTGTTGAGTTATCCACATAATGTTTCTCTTGTTTGTTTTCCATTGGTACACATTTCTCTTTCCTTTATCTCTCTATTTCCTTTGCTTCATTCTATGCTCTTTCTTCATCTCTACTGAATTTTTTTTCAATATTCCACCTGTCAGTCACTTTCCCACTTAGTCTTTCCTTAACCAGCATATCTCCATTTCTTTTATTTGCTTCTCTCTGTCCCTCCCTCCCTTCCCCTCCCCCCTCTCCCATTCAGTCATTTAATGTTTCCCTTTTAGAGATTTCTTTTTTTCCTTACTGTCTTATAATCCCCCCAACATGCCATCCAGATGCAGGGTACCTAGTGCTAATAATTCAAAGTTAATGTCCAGGTATGCCACCTTCCTTTCTTAGTGGATTTTTGATGGTAAATAAAAAATGAAGCAAGCAGTAAGATTGGGAAGGAGAAACTACAACAATGATAAATAGAATATGAAAACCTCTGCTCACCCATTGAATTCTGAAATTGTAGAAGAATAGCTGCACCATAGTAGCAACATCTGGAAGTACTAGTTGTTACTTCTTCTTGCTTTCAATTTTTAAAGTTATTTCTAAATCAGCACTAGACTTGTGTCCTTCCCTTTCTCCCATTCTTTTGGCTTTTCTTTTTTTAGATTTTTCTCCTTCAGAACATAGCAAGTGTAAACCAGCAACCTCTATCTCTATTTTTACTTTTATCTCTATCTCTATCATATCTATCTATCTATCTATCTGTCTGTCTGTCTGTCTGTCTGTCTATCTATCTACCTACCTACCTACCTACCTACCTACCTACCTACCTACCTACCTACCTATCTGCTTTTACATCACTAATATTATAGTCATTAACTCATTCATAGTAATAATATTATTATTAATTATGAAATTGAATCACATTGCCCATAATACATACATCACTGATATTATAAGCATTGACTCTGGACTGGAGAAGCAAAGGAGTATCTGGAGGTATGGAACACCTGGATTTTTCTGCCTCGTGTTTGGCTTTGTAATTCATCTGAAATGCAGAATAAGCAATGCCATAAAATGAGTTAACATGAAAAAAAAGTTGAATTACAATACTTCAATTCATTGCTAACATGAAACCTGATCAAGACAATGTATTCAAATGTTTCAATTCAAATATTTCAAAAGCGAGCCATGGTTAGCCTTTTTGTTCACCAACATAAGGATGTGTATCGGTAGAATGGATCAGTATAAATCATCTGGAATGAAATATGTTTCGCATGCAGACAAAACAGTTTGCTTGCTTTCCTATGATTCAGCTTCTTCAATAAAAATGGTAAGAGATTGATAAAACTTTCAGGGTATAGGGAAATTTCAGGTTGGTATTTGGACATGCTGTCATTAAGACTTGAGGCAGTTTGGTGCAGTGGTTAAGGCATCAGGCTAGAAAGCAAGAGAATGTGAGTTCTAGTCCTGCCTTAGACACAAAGCTAGCTGTGACCATGAGCCAATCACTCTCTTTCTCTCAACCTTAAGAAGGAGATAGGCACAAACTACTTCCAAAAATATTGCCAAGAATTAAACCAAGCAGTCACCAGGATTCAAAAACCTGATTCAAAGACACAACAACCACCACCAAATCATTAAGACTGGTTGCTGGATTCTAAAACTCAAGGCACCCTCCTACTTTGCTATCTTATCTGTGTGAGGTCTAGCTTACTGTTCTGTTAATAGAAATCATATATGCAGATATAATGGGAGGAAGCCAATTTTATTCCCCAAGTAGTCTCATCACTGACCCACAAAAACAGGTGTTGTATGTATACAGAGGAGAAGGAAGAAATCTGGTTCCACCTTTCAGTTTATTATAATTGGCAAACATAGCAATACCATGTCTGAAAAAGTGGGGGTTTGTGCTTTAAGTTTTTTTTTTTAACTATAGAACTTAAGACATGAAAATAAACAACCACCATATTGAAGAATATGCCAGGGTAAGTGAAGAGAGAGATTCTTCCTATACCCAGCTCCATCGATTTCTTTCCTTATCCTTCTCCACAATATCAGATACCTCAGATGACACAGTCCTGAAGCCTCTATTGCATGGGTGTTAAACAGTGGTGAAATTCATTCTTTTTACTACTGGTTCTGTGGGTTTGGCTTGGTGGGCATGCCTTGGTGGGCGTGGCAGGTGATAGATGCTGCAAAATCTCCATTCCCACCCAGCTCTGGGGCCAGCCAGAGGTGGCATTTGCCGGTTCTCCGAACTACTCAAAAATTTTGCTACTGGTTCTCCAGAACCTGTCAGAACCTGCTAGATTTCACCCCTAGTGTCAAACCTGATCACATCATGTGATGTATCACAACGTATCGTGATGTTTTTTGCCTTTGTGGAGAAGGGGTGGGCGTGGCCTGCATGTGATGCCCCCCGGTCAGCGGGCCACCAGTTGGACACCCCTGCTCTATTGGAAATTAACCATTGTTTATTCAATATGCAATAATCTACTGCATAATGCTTTAAAAAGCAGAATAGGTATGTTTCTTGGTCTACCATGAATTATTCATTTGCCCTTTTCATTGTTAAAAATGCAGCATTATGACTGGAAACATTTTACCACACACAAAGGTTCATGAAGTATGGAAACCAGAGAGGAAGTCATTCTTTAAGTTGCAGGTTAACTTACATCACTTAACTGCTTGGTATTAATCTGTGCTTGCACCAAAACAGGAGAATTCGCCACCTGAGTAAACTTTATCTGATCTGGAGGCTTCTTGTAGACAGCCTGGTTGAAATGAAAGCAATGCATAATGAATTTTCAGGCTGCAGCACTATGGTCTTCCATTTTTGTATCAACATATATCAAAGATAAACAAAAAACCCCAAAAAAGCAGCATTCAAAAGAAATAGCACAGCAGTTAATGATGCCGATTGAATAAACATCTAGTTGAGAAAATCATGATATAATATTATTGTCTGGAGTTCTCAGATGATTTTTTTTAATATCAAAGCATATAATCATTAAGAGGCCTCAGTATGTTTTGTATCTGGAATGATAGCAGATTGTAATGTATCTGTTGCATCTAGAATACATTCTCAACAAACATTGAGATTAATCAAGGGCAGAAGTAACAGTGGAAGGGAATGAGTGGTCTCTGTCTTGTGACAACTTCTGAATCATTTCACTATCCAGGCAGATAATGACTGGCAAACCAATAACTAGTCAGATATTTATAATTCTGGCATAACTAGGTGTGTTGTGTATAAAACCCCACTTCTAGATATAGTTAAGGAGTCTTATCTTTTTTGCAAGCTCAGCCATGGTTTATTTCGCAGGGTCCAATAAGCCCTCCCATGGCAAGGCTAAGGGTGTTGTGCAAATACAAATAGGCAATAAATATGACTGTATTTATTTGATTTAGCATGAGATAAATCAGAATGTATTACAAGTAGTCCTCGACTTACAACAGTTTATTTACTGATGGTTCAAAGTTACAATGGCACTGAAAACAGTGACTTAGGGCCATTTTTCATACGACCTTTGTAGCATCCCCATGATCCTGTGAACAAAATTCAAATGCTTGGGAACTTGTTCAAAGTTATGACCATTGCTTCATCCCAAGGTCATGTAATGACTTTCGCAACCTTTTGACAAGCAAAATCAACGGGGAAGCCAGATTCATTTAACAACCATGTTGCTAACTTATCAACTCCAGTGGTTCACTTAACAACCAGGGCAAGAAAGGTCATCAAATAGGACAAAACCCACTTAACAAATGTTGCACTTAACAACAGAAATTTTGAGCTCAATTGTGGTCAAGACCTACCTGTATTTCCTGAAATTCTGAAAGCTTTCAG